TTCAATCTACAACCCACTGACATCTGTTTCTACCTCCATTATTATCTGCAGATCTGCAGCAGTTACAGATTTGTTGATGGAAGAACCTAAATGAGTGACGTGATCTCTTATTAACATCAAAGTATAATGATGCAACTATGCTATCATCAACAACCGTAATAATACAGCGAAGAGCATCCATTGCCTGGTATACATCTACCACAACATCTACTACATCACCTAGTAGTACTACCATTACTAATAATAATAATATTAATAATGACATTATTATTCATAGCAGTCCTATTATTTAAATACAGCTTTATAATACAGCATTACAGTATAATAAGCCAACTGTGCTATCATCAACCACCATAATAATACAGTAAAAAGCATGCATACATCTCATCCATTGCTTGGTATACATCTACTACAACTTCAACTTCTACTACATCACCTAGTAGTACTACCATTACTAGTAATAATGATATTATTATTATTCATAGTAGTCATATTATTCAAGTACAGCTTTATATTACAGCATTACAGTATAATAAGCCAACAGTGATATCATTAACCACCATAAGTAAATAAAACATGCATACATCTCATCCATTGCCTGGCATATGTCTACCACAACATCTACTACATCACCTAGTAGTACTACCATTACTAGTAATAATATTATTAATAATGACATTATTATTCAGCTTTATAATACAGCATTACAGTATGTTAAGCCAACTGTGATGCCATCAACCACAATAATAATACAGTAAAAAGCATGCATACATCTCATCCATTGGCTGGCATACGTCTACAACTTCTCCTACATCACCTAGTAGTGCTACCATTACTAGTAATAATATTATTAATAATTACATTATTATTCATAGCAGTCTTATTATTCAAATACAGCTTTATATTACAGCAGAACTGGTTCTGTACATCTGATCTTATTTTAATCACCTCTCTCTAATGTAATGTATAAAAACATAAGACTGTTAATAGAAAGACAAACAGAATGTGAACATGTGCAGTTTTCATGATTGCATGTCAACCCCCTATTCCTACAAATGGCAGTTTGCTTTATGCGTTCTGTGTACCGGCTTGCCTGACCACTGTGACCAGCCTCTATGTATCCCTGGTAACTGTATTCAAATGTTGGCATCTCAGATCTAATTATATTTTTACCTGATCCTGATATTTTAAATCAGTGGTTTTCAAACCCGACGCTCTAATAGCACTGAGGTTACAGTATAATTCCATTTAGCCAGACTGTTCAATTAAAAACACAATCCCTACATCAGCACTTGCACAATATGTAGGTGTGCACACACATTGCTAAGGGAATGATTCATCAGACTCTGCAGAGCGTGTTACCGACTGCCTCTAATTTGCCTCAAGTAGAATTGTCCTATATTATTATGGAGCATGATAGATGCCTTCTTGTGGCTTCGTGCCAGGTACATATAGCTATTGTAATTAGTAAAAAGAAAAAAAAAGTTTATTATCCCTTATGAATATTCTGTCTGTTTCCATGAATGTCTTCTGTAATGTCACCAGATAATCACAGTTCATATATAACAAACATGTCAAATGTTTATTTATCTAATGGCTTAAACACATAAAATAACCAATAAAAATAAGATTGCAAGCTTGTTATATTTTATACTTGTGGAAGCTCCTTAAAGGATCATTCCTCCCAAACACTAATATTTCAGCTCTTTTACAGAAGCTGGTGAGTGCCCCTTCACCCGCAGTGCGATCGGATGCGTGCCAAAACTTAGCCTGCGTTCCGTTCCACTGCAAACGCAAAAAATGCTGCTTACTCTATTTTTTGTGTTTGCAGTGGAACATAACACAGGCAAAGTTTTGCCACGTGTCTGATAGCACTGCGGGCGGGGAGGACGTGGAAGCGGTGCCATTGAATTCAATGCACTGCCATGCACCCTCCCGCCCCAGAACGCAGGGGGAAGTTTTGTTAGGGATTGCAGTGCAATCCAGCAGCTACCGCTCTGGAACGCACTGCATTTGGTGTGAACAAGCCCTTGGAGTTTCATAAGCATCCCAGAGACTGACTCAATCTTGAAAGCTCCACTTATAACTAAAATATCACTTTTGAACAACCTGACCCTTTAATCGGCAATAAGCTCAGCTGTATATTTTCGTTGCTACCAATCAGGCCTATGCAGCCACTAGGAGGCATGTTGACCTATTTCTTTCCACGGAAATGTTTCTGTATAGTTTGGATTTTTTTGCTTGCTATGAGACTCACCACTGTATTTCAATGGGATTGAGGTTGGGACTCTGATTTGGCCATTCCCACAAATGAGGTATACACATCTGAAAGTCGCAGTGACATCAGAAATCCTGATTTGCATTGTTATTCCAGGTCTGCACATTGAGAATGTGTTAAAGAAGAACTCTAGGGCAAATACAATCTTAACCTCATCTGGTCCAGCAAGGGAATGTCCCCCAGCATCCTCACTTCCTATACGCTGTATAGAAAGTGATGACTCACAGGACCTCAGACAGCTGCAGCAGAGGAGGAGCAAGGTTGCAGGGACTGGTCTAACAGGCAGCTGGGATCGTGGTTCGGGTGAGTATATTTCTGTTATGTTAGTGGGGTAGCCCCACTGCAAGGGTTAAGATTTTATTTGCCCGGAGTTCTTCTTTAAAACTATTGGAACATTCAGCCAACTATAAATTCCAGAAGGGGAGGTCAGCAATAGGCGCCTCTGTGTTCTCTCATTACAGGTGGATTGCTTCAACATTTTACATCTAACACAGAGGCCAAAGCTGGCCATACACTGATAGATTCGTGTTCAAACATTTATTCCAAAAATCTGTAAGATCTTTCATGGAGCATTCGATAACACCGTCAGCAAATCCCGGAGAACTCGCAGTTCGATTGCCATGCCGTTATGGTGAATTTTAACATTTCAGGATGTAAGGAAGCGATTCATGTATTTATGTGACTTTATTAACCTTATTATATCTTTACACCTGACCTATACAGAAACGTTTACTTGCCTTGCTCTTTCATACTTCCCCATATCAGATATAATCGTTTCTATGAAAGAATTTTCATGGCAAGGAAAGTTCTATTTCCTGTTTTCATAGATCAGGCGCATTACACAAGAACATTTTTTTCCCGAATGAGTAACACATTCCAGTTAGAATTTTGTTAGTTTAGGTATGAAACAAGAACAATTCTCCATCCTTCTCGTTCAAGTTTCCTCGTCACTATGGTCAAAAACGATCATGTATTTGACCTGACAAACCAGGGGTGTCCCTAGCCTGAGGCGAGGGGGGATTGGTGCTGCCAGTGGTACAATTCCTTAGGGGAAGGGGGGGTGGTGGAGGAAGGGATGCTGGTGGTGCAAGTAATGATTGGGTGGAATCCATCCAGCTGACGTCACTAGTTGCAAGGAGCTGAACAGGACACCGCTCAAAGTGTCCCAGATTGCTAAGAACTTGGCAGGGAGATATGTATGGCCATTACACATCTCCCCGCCTGGCTCTAAGCAACCTGGGACGCTCTGGCCAGAAAAGGGGTGGCAGACACACTACAAATATTGTGCCCCCCTGCCTGCCTTCCCCCCACATCAGACTGCCTCATTATAGGGATGATCCTGCCACTACCTATTACAGAATTGAACAAAGTTGCTGAAACAACTGTTTTCGAGTGAAATGGTAACTGTGTTGGCAAACTTAAATTGGAAGTAAACTGTATATAAGAAAAACTGCTGAAGGCAGTTTCTTTGTAGCAGAAGAGACGGTGTAAGTCCTACCTGCCTGTCAGCTATTTATTTCTCTATGCAGTGAGCTGCGCATGAACAACTCAATGCACAGACCCGGCATGCCAAGATTAAGTAACTTATGTGCGCATATTTAGAAATTACATCATGCCTGCCCAGTCAAGCAAGATGGAGAAGATGGCAGCAATAGAGGAGAGCAGACAGCACAGCGCTGGAGGCGATCGTTTGAAAGGAAAGTCGGCCATAATGTGCTCAAATGCTGTGCATACCAGCACATTATGGCAAACACCTCCGGGAGGCTTATTTAATTAATTTTGGTTAACCCCGCTTTACTTTCAATTTAATTGGTTAGCAATTGAGTCTTGATAGCGCTGGGCCCAGGGTTTGACAAAGGACACTATGTGCATAGACTTTGTATGTCATCTCTGTTTCTTTCTTTTCTTGCACTGTTCAGCCAATCAGCACGCAGTTGTTAATATTTAAACCAGCAATCCAAAGAACATTTCTAATTTTATATTTCAAGCCAATCAGATTTCAGCTGACCAAAGTCAAATTTAGTGAAACTCGAATTTGGTTTGGTAGCAGTGGGTAATGGAACTTTACACACTGCTCTATATTAAATAAGTCTATAAATGACAGCCCTTCGTAGTCCATAATGGACAAATACGGCACTTTTCCCAGGCAGTTGTGAAGATTGACATGTGCTAATAATCCGTGGGCTTGTTGGTATCTGTAAGAAGATGAAATGCAAGCCGAGGCTGCGCTGTAAATGCAAACGACTCTTTATTGTATTACTGGTAAACTTAATGGCAATCTGCAAGATGAGCTATTTGCTCGCCGGTGTTGGGTCAAATGTGAAGCGCCGCTCTCAGTTAGTCATGGTGTCATCTCAGGCACATTTTGTAAATACGTGTCATATTGCCTCGGATCCAAGCACACAGATTTGCACTGTCTGCGAGGGCCTGAGACGTAGTATTTAAACAAATCTGCGACGTACAATGGTAACCACGCGGGGTTGAGGGAACCCTGCCAACTTCATTATTTAAAATACCAAAGTCATTAGAGAAGAAAATATGTAAAATGTTTTAATGCAGCAATCTGCTGCTCCTGTAAGAATGAGTGTGCCAATGTCGTGTTGGTAGAGCTCCCTCTGCTTGCTCAACATAAGCATCTCCATAGCTTCTGAGCAAAGGAACACTGGGGGGAGGGCTGGAAAGACAGGAGCGAGGAGGAGGAGGAGGGAGAGAAATAGAGAGAGAGAGGGGCTGATTTCTCTCCAGCTGCACTGAGCTACCCAAATCACAGAAATAGACACAACGGGGAGGGGGCATGGAGACACATCTATCATTCTATCACCTTCCTCAGGACAACAGGGGATAAGACAATGCACATCAACAGGTAAAAAGACCCTTGCACATTTTTTTTACCTCATTTATTATTAAGCAATGCATACTGGACAAGTGCCACTGGCTATATTATCAATGAGACCAATGTATTTATAAATATGGAGAGGCACATATTAGAAATGATCATTTTAACATATTTCATTGAATTGTACATGTGCTTATTGTAAAGATCAATTATTCTGTCCTTGGAAACTGTTGTTTGAATGTCTGTATTTACTGCATAGGCCTCCTAGGAGAAGAAGTAAAAATCATGGTATATGGCAGCATGTGAAGTCTCGGTCTGTGTGCCGTTATCGGTCCTGATGCAGAAGGAGGAAAATGGATGTACAGAGCATATACAGAACTCTGTGAGTGTGATGCATCATGTAGTCATGGAATAATAGAAGTCCCAACATCATTCAGTCCTGCTTATAACAGATATTTGCCCCCACTCTGGATGGAGGTGTGATAAGGGGCTCGGGTTCACCATGCAGAGGCTGGGTGACCGCAGGACCACCGAGAACCAAAGTAATTTCTCAGTAGATCAAGGATCACCCTCTATGCCCGACACTGTACTCAGGATTGCCCTCATTATTTCTCTCCTTTGCCTGTCTCTCTTTGGGAACATTATGCTGCTGGTGGTTTTTCACCGCAAGCCACAGCTGCTTCAGGTAGCGAACCGCTTTATCTTCAATCTGTTGGTTGCTGATCTTTTGCAGACCGTTCTGGTGATGCCTTGTGTCATTGTAACCTCCCTCCCGGATATATGGCCTTTGGAACATGGCCTCTGTGGCGCCGTGGTGGTGCTCATGCACCTCTTTGCTTTTGCCGGAGTCAACACCATCACAGTAGTGTCTGTCGATAAATACCTGGCCATCATCCACCCATTATCCTACCCCACCAAAATGACCCCAAAAAGGGGGAGCCTGCTCATCTTCTTCACATGGATTCTCAGCGTCCTCCAGAGCACCCCTCCTCTTTACGGATGGGGCAAAGTTGAATTTGATCTCCAAAGCCACTACTGCAAAGTACTCTGGGCTTCAAGTTATTCCTACACCATCCTCAGCGCCTTATTTTCTTTTATCTTACCAGTGAGCATTATGTTGGCGTGCTATGGGATGGTGTTCCGAGCAGCCAGGAGGCAAAACGCGTTAGTTCATCCAGTTCAGGCAAATGGATGTGACAGGTCTGATGGGACAAGATCTGCTGTGCTAAATGCACTTGACAAAACAAGTCATCACAGACCGCTCTACCATTGCAAAGCAGCCAAGGTTATCTTTGCTATCTTGTCCTCCTACATAATCAGCATGGGTCCCTATAGCATCCTAAGCATTGTCTCCTCCTGTGCCAGTACTATCATCCCTAAATGGGTAGCATCTCTAGTACTTGTTCTCTTCTTCCTACAATGTTGCATCCATCCCTATATCTATGGATATATGCACAAAAGCTTGAAGAAGGAATTCCTCTTGCTATTGCATGGGTTTTTCTGCAAGCAGGTGCACCCTCAAAATGCCATAGTAGATAGTTACATTATACTCACGGATGGTCGAATACTTCAGTCTCATTTTTCCACTGGCCCTACAGTAAAATTCCTAGAAGAAGAAACTACCATATCTGTAATCACCGGTAAAAGCCTAAACAACCTAAAGATTAAAGACAGCAAAAGAGAGAGCAGTTCTGCCAATATATCCCCTGAAAAACAGTCGATTCAGCGAAAGATAGATCCTGATCTGCCACAACTTATTAGCTGCTAAACAATAGACAGAATGATGTTTCTATACCATGTAATGGATACGTTGGGGGTTTTTTTCTGTATTTAAAGTGGGTATAAAAAGTGTTCAAAGTGGATTTAGATTGTAATGATTCTGTGTGTGAATTTAACCGGTTTTACTGCTAACAAAAGGATGCAGTGTGAGGCATTGTGTTTCCTTTTTTCCCAGTGACAAGGTTAAATTTATCACTTTGTGGAGAGAAGATTTCTCCTGTCATTGTAGATGATAATTTTGTAATAAAAGAAGAAATTGCTTATTTAATGAATCAGATATTGTTAACTATTTGCAGAGTGATACGGGGAATCTGTCACTGGACTCGACGTTAGTAGGTGCCTGTAAATATATGGTAGAAATACGTTCTTCCATAGTATAAGTGCCAAATATATTTTGGGTTATTTTTCTTTTTGGCATTTTTACTGATAGATTGTAATCTGTATTACTTGAAGTCTAACATTCTCTTTGCAGCTCTCTGCTCCTATAACTTGTGCAGTCCAGGAGGTAAAGTGTTAATTCTGGTTCTGCCATTTTGTAGAGATGTACCAAACAGCAATTTGTCGGCTTTATTAACAAGGCAAAGAACAATGTGTGAAACACTGCTATCCAGTGAAACCAATCAGCACACATCTGTAATTATTTAGACTTCTCCAAATTGAGTAAAGGCGAGATGATTGGTTGCTTTGGATTAATGCACTGGTATCGCATTGGGCCTAGATGAGTGCAAGTGGTAAGTAACTTTTACCTTGCAGCACTAGGGTCCTTCAGATGCTACCCTGTACACTATCTGCATGGGGTTTGTATGTTCTTCTTGTGTTTATGTGGATTTCATCTAGGTAATAGTTTTTCTTCCGCAGAACAAAAACATGCTGGTAGGTTACTTGGCATCTAACTAGCTTTTATTTCCCACTCCATGGCTGATCCCAAACCTGTGCCAAGGACAGAGGAGGTCTAAAAACAGAGCTAAACTGTCATGAGAGCAACATGGAGGCTGCCATTGCTGAAATCTCTTTTTGAAAATACTAGTGGCCTGGCAGTCAGGCAATGCTGAATAATGCACCTAGTTCTAAGATAAGGTCTCCTGGTTTTATTATGGCTTTCATGATCTGTGCACATGGTAGGGGTCAGTGATCAGGATAGTAGTGATGTCAGATAATACCTATACCAGCCAGGCAAATCGCAATATGAGCAGAAGCTCAGCAATGGCAGTTCCCATATTTCTCTTCTGAAGGACTATTTTAAAATGCTGCTGTTGCCTATAAAGGAAGGCAGTAAATACTCACTTTTCCCAGTACTTGGCCACATAATACCACTGTGTTCACAGGTTTTCATCCCCCAAAGTGTGAAGCCAACACTAATCCAGGTCCTTCCAGCTCTCAATGGTTTCTCCCTCTGACTTCACATCACCACTCTCTCCTGCGGTGATGTTAGGTCAGAAGGGAGAACCAGTAATCGCTACGGGGGACCCAGGAGATTGACACTCCAGCAAGTGACAATACTGATTTCTTTTACAGCAGTTTTAACAATAATTTTTTGGCACTTTAAGAAATAGCAAGACATTGCAGCCTAATGTGCTCAGTAACACTGGAAGGAACTATGAGCAAGAGAGTATAAGAACAGCCTCTATAGATGTGGTGAAAGTAAGCTTAAAGCTTTACTTTTCGTTTCTTGAAACTTGCTTATATCAGGACAGAAAACCAAACAATTTTTTAAACAGTACTTTTTACCTTTCCTGTACCAACTCTTGAAGCATCTTATTCTTGGGGGGAAATGTTCCAGTTTGCTTGTTGCCATGGAAGGAATTGTTACCATAATACATTGACTTCAATTGAGGCAGTTGTGAGTAAGGTGTTAATTCTGTAATACCTGTGGTCATGCAGGCTGCAGCTTGTAAATGCTGGTCTGCCATGCAATGTATACAGCTGTGTTTCCCAAACCTGTCCTCCAGTTACACCAACAGTGTATATTCTGCAGGTCACCACTCATATACACAGGTCGAGTGATTAGCATTTCAGCAATGTAATTAAGCTAACTGTGCAGATATCCACAAAACATGAACTATTGGTAGCAGTTGAGGACAGGTTTGGGAAACAATGGTATATAACAGGCTTAAAAAAAGATTAGCAGGGCTATTCACAAAAGGGTGAAGAGTTTGGAGAGGGCAGGAGAAGTGAACAATCTAGGACAACATAGTTGATTTGGAAAAATCCTCCAATTCAGCTCACTTTCCAAATCATCTATGTTGTCCCGGGCAGGTAGATGTTTTCTACATTTAGCCCTGCTTTGGGCAAGCAGAGCTAAAAATGCAGCAGGTAAGCCACTGCTTGTTTTGTACAAGTGATCTCGGCAACATTGTATGCAGCCTGCAGGTCTCCCATTCTCCATGGTGT